AGACAGAGATGCCATACAGAGAGAGCTTGGGTATAGAGTTTATTCATGAGAGTAAGGGGTTATCAAAGAAGGGAAGAAGAGGAGAAAGAGAAGGAGGAACAGAAAAAGCAGCAAGAGTGAGGGGAGCAAGAAGAAAGAAGGGGAGAAGGTAGAGAGGCAGTAGTTACCTCTTCAGAAGTGGTGCTGATACACACACACACACACACGCACACACACACACGCACACACACACAGAGAGAGAGAGAGAGAGAGAGAGAGAGAGTTGGAGAGGTTGAAGATGCCCTTGCCTCAGTAGAAAGGGGGAAGGAAGTTGGGAGTGGGCAGGGCTTGAATCATAAAGGGACGGGGTACCCAGGTGACAGACCAGGACAGCAGATTACAACATTCCCGCCATTCTCTTATAATAAAAAGGCAGGGAGTTAGTCATGGCACGCTGAGGGAATTGGGATGGTGAGTTTTCAAGATTGCTTCCTGCTTATTTGTGGGTATCAAAGTCTTTCTTAGGGGGCCTGAGAAAGCTGGGTGCTGGTCACACCATGGAGTAGCTGGTTGCTTTACTTCTGTCCAGGGTTTGTGGTATGGAGCTGTCTGGTGCCTCTTGGAACTGGCAGTATGTTGGCAGAGCAGAAGACAAAGTTAAGTTTAGGAAGAAAAAATTTTTAGGATCAGGGAATTGAAATGGATATATGTGACCTGTTTAAGGTGGATCCTTCAGTTTGACTCTGGAACTCACAAGAATTTTCTGAGTTTGTGAAAACATATGTTTTAGACACATGCATTGTATAAACAGCAGAATATTTATGTCAGAATGACTATGGCAGATTTTTTTTATACAATGAAAAGTATCTTTAGAGAAAGACCAATGAAGAGTATGATAGGCAATGTTGAGAACTCACATCTTGATAACTTGCATTTGTATATCTCAAAACACATTTTATTTAGAACATGTTAAGAGGTTATACTGAAATTTGTTTGGTGAGGTTGTCCTTTTAAACTGACAAAACCTCTCAGCTGTCAAACTTCATCGGAGATCATTGAGAAGGATAAAATTATACTTGAGTTATTCATTTAAAAATGACAGAGGACTTACTCTATTGGCACCTAGAACCCTCCTCAGCATCCTTCATGGTCATCAAAGACAAGGGCATCAGGACTGTGTTTGTCTTCTGTTGTTAGAAAGCAGGGCCTGACAGGCTCCAGAAGATCCTGTGGGTTAGGACTTCTGTGGGAAAGCAAGCCTACTTTGGCCTGAGTAGCTAGGCAAGTGGATTCTATTTGATTCTTTGTCCATGTCTGGAGATCTTCAGTTTAGATGAAAGGCAGTTTTTCCCAGTGGTCATTACTTTCACTTGATGAAGCAAATTGCAGATGGATGTAGTTTTGTGAGCATCTGTCTTCTGTCTTCTTTGGAGTAAAAAGAGTGCTGCTGATAGGGGCCAACCTGTCTCTGTTATGAAAAGTCTTTTAATAATTAAACATTTAAGTGTCATATTCCCCAGATCTCTGAGCACTTGAGGGCTGTTTTTCAGGTATAGATGAGTTATAACTACAGCATAGAATCTGCCTGAAGAACTGGGTACAATCTTGACTATGCTGGTTTATAACGAAACAGGTAAGATTTGTACTTGTAAAAGACAAAAAAGAAAAAAAAAACTTTGTAATAGAAGCTTACAATAGTGGAAAACAGCTTAATGTATTTTAAAGTATGGTTATATTACATATACAGTATGTTGGAAGAGATTTAAGAGTACACACCAGCAGATTACAACCGAAACCCTTTCTCAAAAAAGGAGGAGAGCTATAGAGGAAGATATTCGATGTCTTCCTCTGACTTCCGCATGGATCTTAACTCCTGAGCACACACACATACAAACTTGCACATATGCCATCTGTAAGCTTTCTGTCACCTCAGTATAGCTTCAACTGAGAAAACGTCCCCCACCAGACTGGCATGTGGGTTATTTTCTCTCTGCCCCAATTGAGTGAACCAGGTAAGACCAACGCACCACAGGAAATCTTACTAGGAAAGTTCCCTATCCCTGAACCTTGACTGGGGAACAATGTAACTGTGACTTGGTGCAGATGTTTGCAGATTTTCTGCTTAAATATTTGATGAAACAAAGGTTCAAGGGCGCAATCAGCTCCCAAGTCTGTACTGTTGTTCCTGGGTGGTTGGTCTTTGATGGCCAATTCAATAAAGATCTTGCTTTTTGTGGACTCTTGAACCTGCTTGGACTGTTTTGGACTCTCAGATCTACAACATGACTTTATTTCTTAGAAGCTGATGGTGTGGTGAAAACAAGAAACCATTTGCCCAGCTCTAGAACTCTAAGTTCTGAGAAAGGGGTTACCAGTTTTCTTTGTGGTTTGGGTTAGAGAGACAAAGACTAGCAGGGTTGGCGCTCTAACCTGCCCAGCTGTGTCCTCTATGCCAGGGTCCAGAGCTGTTTGGCTCATCTGATGAGCGCCATCTGCAGGAAGAATGCAGAAAACTGGAGAAGGACACCTGGACTCTGTTCAGCTCTACTAAAGATCAGGAAAACAAAACACAGAAGAGGAAATTCTCCTCTGTGGGTCTCCATCCCTCTCTACACTTTCAGTTTCTTTTGGATTAAGTAACAATGTGTGAGCCCTGTCTTTCTCCAAAGCATCTCTGAACTTGACAGACCCTAAGATAACACTTTTTCTTCTACTGCTGATATCTGACAAACTATAGCACAACCTCAGGTATCCAGGTATAGAAAAATGTGTATATAAACCAAAAGCACTTACTGATAATAACTCATAAAGAAAGTTATTTTAAGACAGTTCTTAAGTTCACTTATGCTGTTATCATTTACTGAAAATGAGAGAAAATTTGCATATTGCAAAAATGTGTTTGTTTTTTACATAAAGAACTAAATCTTGGTTGAATATATTTTACTGCAAGACATGGAATATTTTAAATTTTTCTCCAGACTTAATGAATATTTTTTGTTTTGCTGTTTTTAATGCTGAGAACCTTACTTTGAATTAAATACACAATATAAAATGGCAGACAAATGTCGAGGATCATTTCAGAAATAGGAGATTCTGTCTTAATTCCCAACAAAATTCATTAAAAAAAACTTTCTGTTTTATTTATTTTTATTTTATTGTGAGCGTTTTGCCTGCAAGTTTGTCAGTGTACCACATGTGTATGAAGAGAACACAGAAGCTGGAAGAGTGTATTAGATTTCATGGAACTGGAGTCACAGGGGGTTGTGAGCTGCCATGCAGGTGCTGGATTCCAATCCGGGTTCTTGGGAAGAGCAGCCAGTTCTCTTAACTGCTGAACCATCTCTCCAACCCCGAAACAGCAATTTTTAAAACTAAGCATTCTAACATGATGCAATCCAAAGATTAACTAATTTGATAATTACATGCTGAAGAACGACAGCAGGAACACATTAAAGTCTGTTTTCTAGTACTAAGACATGTTTCTATAAGAATAGAAAGGTTGTGTACAATGAAAACTGCAATCCATGCCATACCACTGTGTCTCATTTGAAGTGAATGTTTCAGCGTGTTTACTGGTGTCCTCTGGTGAGAAGGCCTCCTCTGCAGATTGCACATGCATGCACAGAACAAGGCTGCAGTGACAACAGGACACAACACCGGGAAGCTGGGCTAGAAGCAAGGACATGTTACACAGTTGATTTTGAATTAGTTTTTGGTCACTGTGCTTTAAGAAACATTTCAGTGCCACCAAAATTTTCCACATCCCTTATTGTGTTAACATTTGCACATACTTAGGACTTTTCTATCTTCAAAATATTTAAATCCAAGAAACAAAAATAAAGACATTCTGAGCCCAAACTCCCACCCCCACCACAGACTGACTCCCCATCTTCCTGTTCATTCACCTTCTGGGAAGGTCTGACTTGGTTTGCAGCTTCTACTTCCTTCCTTTTGTCAGACTTCAGGCCTCTCCAGACTCCCTGCCCTCTCAGTTTTCATCAGACTGGGCAGTTAGGGTCCACAGAGGGCCAGCCCACCTAACCCTGGAGTGGCAAAGCCTCTGTCTCACACATCTGCTCATTGAATGTTGAGGATACACAGGGTCCCAGCTCTTCTCACCGCTGTCCCAGTCAGCCCTCTTCATTCCTGCCCTAGGATCCAGTCTCTTGCCCCACTCCAGGCTGAACTTTTCATATCCTTCAGCAAATGCTGCCTTCAGTGGCAGCTCAGAGCCCACGTTTCCTCTAGGCCTCTCTGGAGTGTGCCGGTCGGTAGCCTTCTTTCTCCTGAGTCCACTCCAGCACCATACAGTAGCCCAGGTGATTCTGTGCATGTGAGTCACCTCCCAGAGTCCCCCTCCCCCAATCCTCTAAGGTCTTTTCTTGATTCTCCTTAGGCTTCAGGTGCCCCATGTCACCTGCCCATAAGCTCTTCTGTCCTTCCCATAATTAGGCTGAGAGTCCCTGCTCTCCTGCTCCAGCAACACCTGTTTTCTGTATTATCTCCTGTGTCCTCACATCTGTGTCCCTCAGTTGTACACCCAGAGATTGGTGCCTACCTCACAGGTTCCTCAAAACTGGGAGTTTGTAGACACAGTGTTCACAAATGAGAAAACAGAATGTAGAAGCAGAAAAAAGGCAGGACAAATTCTGACGTGTGGTCCCCAAGTGAGCAGGGAGCATCCGGAGAGGATCATTTGTGAATCCCTTTTCTTGTGCCTTATAATGTGGGTTTTGTGTATACTGAAGTTATCCTAGGGATGGAACAAAGCTCAGCTGTGGCTGGGGTGAAGTGCAGGCTGAGGGACTGCCAGCTCTGCTGGATTGACTTACTTCTGTTGGGGGCTGAAGAGGGGACTGGGAGTGCCCCAGGGTCATGGGTGTGTGGGGGTGGTTGGGGGGATGTTGCATTATTCCAATCCGGGATCAGCTAGGTGAAAATAGAAAGTAAGGACGCTGAGGAATTTCCAGGAAATGAAAGCAAAAGAGAAGTTAACTCAAAGTAAACTCTGCGCAGCTTTAGCCAACCCAGCAGTAGTGGTTTCGCAAGCCTGCCAGGATGGCAGAGTCCGGGCCCTTCCCGCTGCTGGTCGAGGGGTCTTGGGGCCCAGACCCCCTGAAGACCTTAGTCAAAAAGTTGCAAATGTACTTCCAGAGCCAGAAGAAGTCGGGCGGAGGGGAGTGCGAGGTCGTCCCGCAGCCCGGGAGCCCGGCAAGTTTCTTGGTGCTCTTCTCCCCAGAGGACGGTGAGAGGCTCAAAGGTGGTGGGGTTCAGGCCATCAGTGACAGGCCCAGAACTCAGAGCAGCGCAATGGGAGCAGGAGATCCTGGGGTCAGAATCGGGAGTAGCCAGCGCATCCAGGAGTGGCAGTTCCCTTGCTCTTTCAGGAGCTTCCTGGTGCTGTGAACCTTCCCTTGCTTTGCTTTTTCTTCCTTCCTTCTTTCTTTCGTTCTTTTTTCCTTTCCTTTTAAAAAAATGTTTTTATTATTTAAATGGTGCAGTTAAAGAATTAAGAATCTTGAGAAGTCTTGGGTCAGCTAGCACTACTGAGGTCTAGCTGGAAGGGGGGCAATGTCTTTGGGAGGTGAGCTTGAGGAGGGAAAAGCCCCAGGGCTCTTGTGCCACAGCCTGGACAAAGTTCCTGCTTTGTCCTTCTGCCCCAGGGAGGCCTGAAGTGGCTGTGGGCTTTGAGCTGGGGTGATACTTCCGGTGGAGGGTTCCCTCATGGCAGGAAGGCTCCAGAACCATTGAGCAGTTGAATGCTCCCCACTTCTGTCTGCAGTAGACATGGTGCTGCAAGGAGGCCCAGCCTTGCTTCTTTGCTGTGGCTCCAAGAAGGCAGAGTTTCTCGGTAGCTTTTGAGCGTGTCCTGGAACTAGCTCTTGTAAACTAGACTGGCCTCGAACTCAGAGAGATCTGCCTGCCTCTGCCTCCAGAGTGGTGGTATTAAAGGAGTGTGCCACTACCACCAGGCTCCACCTGAGATGTTGTAGACCAGGGTCATCCTTAGAATACAGACAATTCCTCCCTCTTGTCCTTGGATTTGAAGAGATCTCTGGAGCACACGAGGGGCAAGGAGGCCAAGGAAGCCAGGCTGTAGACAAGATATCAGCCCAACAGGGATCCAAGAAGAAAAAAATGAAAGAAAGAGACAGATGTAGAGGGTGTTGACACAGGTTTTCAGAAAGCCTGGTCAGGAGGCAGGAGAGGCCTGCAGGGAGCTGAATCCCTCTGGAAAGCAAGAACCTTGTCCTAGGTTTGATTTCACCAGGGCGTGCTTCACAGACAGCTGACAGCAGGACCTGTTTTCTCATTTTCTCTGTTCCTAGGGCAGTGGTTCCCAACCTTCCTACTGCTACAACCCTGTAATACATGCTGTGGTGACCACTAATCATAAAATTATTCTCGTTGCTACTTTATAACTGCAATTCTGCTAATGCTATGAAGTATAATGTAAATATCTCTGTTTCTGATGGTCTTAGGCTACCTCTGAGAAAGGACCTTTGACCCTCATAGGGGCCGCGACCCACAGGTTGAGAACCACCTCAGAGGGTTAGAGGGTTCCCAGTTTGATCCCAGCTGTCACTACCCCAGTAGACACAACCCTTATGGAGTGTGTTCTTCTCTTGAGCTGTCTCCAAATGCTGGTCACATGTTAGGGGTGCAGACTACTGCATCCTGGTCACAGGGAGGGTAGGGGAGCTAGACCCAGCCCCAGCTCTATTCTAGACACTTTAGTGCAGAGACTTGGGTGAGTGGGGAAGCATTTGCCACCAGCCCTCTGAAGTGATCAGGACGTGCTGAAGTCTGAAACATCTCTGTTGTTTATTGAGAACCTCAAACCAATAAAATGGAGATCTGTAAGATACTGGTAGTTTAGTGACATACACAGCACGGGAAAGTATGGTTGTGATGGTGCAATCCCTGCTGTAGCCTTCCCAGCAGGCACTGGGCAGCTGAGGAGAAGGCTGGGCTCACACCCCAGCTCAGCTTTCTCCCTCACAGGCTCCCAGTCCACAGCCCCCTCTTCTCCCAGGTGGCTCAGCTGATCCCTCTCCTTCACTCCCAACACATATGACTCAGAAAATTAAAATGGAACTTTGTTGCAGGCCAGGCTTTGGGGTGACCAGAATTTCCATTCACTTTCAGTTTCCTATTTGAAGCCCCACTTCCTCCTCAGCAAGGCAGCTGGAATTTCCCAGCAGATTTACCCTGCAGTCCTAGGGCAGCCTCTTTCCTTTCCTGTAGAGGCCCCACCCTCCATTCCAGATGTACCCTGAGCAGGCATGATCTATTCATCTAAACCTACACCAGCAGGACAGTACTACTGAGCCTACTAGTGTATGCCGGTACCAACAGGGAGGTCTCACCTTTGTAGGTCATGGTACATGATCATGGATTCATTTACTGTTGAGTATGTAGGTCTTTTTCCCTTTGAACACTGAGCTATAGTCTCAGACCCAAACTCAAATCCCTGTAACCACATTTCAGGCTGACACACTTAATCATACGTTCTAGTCCTAAATGGACTCCTGTTTATTAAGTGAGGGCCTTGGTATTCTTGAAGTAAGGGAACTCATATTATTTTTTAAAAATGTGGCTGGGCAGTGGTGGGGCATGCCTTTAATTCCAGCACTCAGAAAGCAGAGGCATGCAGATCTCTGAGATTAAAGTCATCCTGGTCTCTAAAACAAATGCCAGGACAGCCAGAACTGTTAGACAGTTACACAAAGAAACCTTGTCTGTCAAAACCATACACATATACCCAAAAGATTTATTTTTATTTTATGTTAATGGGTGTTTGCTCTTTATATGTCTGTATACCGCATGCCACCACCACGGGTCTTTCTAGTCTGTTTTTTTTTTCCTGTTCCCTTTCCTACCAAATGTGGGTTGTTTATCAATGCAGTCTAATGGCAGGACTTCTGGTCATTCTGATGATCTACTGGGTCATCTTCCTACAGAATGGGTCTCAACCCCTGTACCCAGTTGTCCTTGTAATTATAAATATTCCCACCTTCAGTGCCCACCCAGTACAGTACAGGTTCTGTACTACTACACTGTATGATTCTTCAATGGAATTCACTGACTGGCTCAAAACAATTCCACGGACATCAGTAGTCAGTAAGGAGGCTGAGGCTGTGTAAGTAGGATTTGTGTAGCAGGATGCTGACGGGATTCACCAGAGTTCCCTTGTGTGATAACATATCTGGGATAATCACCTTGAATAGAGGAAAGGTTTATCTGGGCTCTACAATTTTGGAGTTTTGGTCTACAGTCAGTTGGCCTGCTGCTTTTGGGCCAATGGTACAAGGCAGTACACCCTATAGGGAACTCTTGGCTATGTAGTGATACAGAAAGGAGGAAAGATCTGAATCCCCAGGATCACCCCTTCTCCCCAGGGGAGTCTGACTTCCTCTAGGCCTCACTTCTGAAAGCTTCCAGGACCTTCCATTAGACCATGAACTGGCAACCATGTTTGTAATCTCAAGGCCATTGGGGAACACTCAATAACTGTAGGACCCCGCCTTCCTGTGGAAACCCACACCCGATCCAGGCGTGCGCCTTCCCGAACTCAGGCCCACAAGAATGGACAATTGTCCTGAGGGTTTAAAACAGACACACACAAAAAGAGAGCTGCTCACTTACTAAGAGTAAATGGCCACTTTATTAAACTCAAGTCGGTATTTATACCAGTGGGCAAGGAGGATCAAAAGGGCAAGGCCTCCTCCCATCAGGAGCAGGAGAAGGAGATTGAAGGCCCTGGTGCCTCAGGCAGAATCAGCTGGGAGGGACCAGGTGTGTGGAGCCCACTGCTAGAACCTTAAATACAGGTGGAATCACCATAACAAAGAGAGCCAAATTCTTCCTAAACTATCCCCTCAAGCCAGTGCTAGTGCAGAATCTCCAGGGAGCCGGAGGTCACACGGCCCTGCGAATCGCCAGGAAGAGGGGAAAAAGACCTTGGTACCTACAAATAACTAAGATAAAACAATGAATATTAAAAAGTAATCTGGGCATGGCAGCAGATGATTTGACACCAGCACTTGAGAGATAGAGGCAGGCAAGTGTCTGTGAGTGTGAGTCCAGCCTGGTCTACAGAGCAAGTTCTAGGCCAACCAGGGCTACATAGTAGCCTTGTCTAAAGAAAGCCCCATCAACAAATAAACTGCACTACCCCAGGAAGTTTAGGGGCAGAGGAGTGGTTCTGAGGGCCAGTTTGAATCTCCAGTCCCCACGTAAACAGCTAGGCACAGCTCCATATGCCCAGTGTAGAGGACAGAAATGGGCAGATCACAGGAAGCCTAGGCAACGGGCAAAATTCAGTGAGAAACCCTGTCTCCAGGCCGGAAGGCAGAGAGCAATTCAGGGATATACCCAGTGTCCTGCTGTGGCCTCCACGTGACCAGGGGTGTGCACTCCTCCATATGTCTACATGTCTACAACATGAATAATTCACACAAAGTGATATTCACATCCCTGTGCTGAGTTATCCTTCTTTTACAAGGTCTTGCTGCTTAGGGAGACGGGCTGAGCTGCTGGCTCATAATGGTGAATTTGTAGAAATCATGGACTAATTATGTAAGTAAAGATTGTTTGCAATTTGGCTTAAAATCTTTTTATTTTTTGAATGCTTCAGTTCGGCAGAATGTTCTGAAGAAAGAGAATCATGAGTTAGTGTGGCCAGGAAAAGGGACATTCAAGTTAACTCTCCGGTTGCCCGAAGACCCAGAGAAAGCCGCAGACTCTAAGGAGGCAGTTCCGGGAAAGGTAAGGACACAGGGCCTTATTCCAAGGTGCGTGGGATTCTCTATGATGAGTATGGTGGAGATGAGCTGGGCTGGGGTGGCACACACCTTTAATCCCAACACTAGGGAGGGAGAGGCAGGCAAATCTCCATGAGTTTGAGGACCAGCCAGGTCTACAAGAGATAGTATCAGAACAGCTAGGACTGTTACACAGAAAAATTCTGTCTCAAAAGACCAAAAAGAAAGAAAGAAAGAAGGAAAGAAAGAAAGAAAGGAAGGAAGGAAGGAAGGAAGGAAGGAAGGAAGGAAGGAAGGAAAAAAGAAAAGGAAAAAAGAAAAAGAAAAAAGAAAAAAATGGTAGATGAGGGCCTAAGTCACATTAGCCTGAGAATGGCAGCTTGGGACTCTGGAGGGAGCAAGGACTGTAAACAATGGAGAAGCAGTCATTTTTTTTTTTGTCACTTCTGGAAGAGTCAAGACTGGAGGGTTTAATAGTAATATATTTGGGGTGTCAAAGTTGTATCCATTGATCTTGGTGTCTTTATAATCAGAAGCCTGCTGTTCTGTTTTCATCATCTTCTGGTCAGCAGTGTACCCCACATGTGTTGTTCCCTCAACTGTGAAGAAGATTGTCAGGGACCTCTCTGAAGCATGTGTACCGTGTTCATACAGTAAACATGAACTAAGTGCCAAGTCAGCAAACCACTGACTCCTGCCTCACAGGAGTCTCCTGTGTGTGTCTCATTCCATCAGTGATTGTTGTGACCAGCAAGAAGACACACTGTGACATGTAGCTTTCGATCTAGCCCATTATTGAAATGTGTCATTATCATTTCAGTTAACTGACATCTCCAGCCTGGCCCAAGAGGTGTTTTATTTATATATGAAATGATTCATAGTCTCCAGGTGGTGGTGGTACACGCCTTTAATCTTGGATCTCAGGAGGCACAGGCAGGTAGATCTTTGTGAGTTAGAGGCCAGCCTGGTCTACAGAGTTTGTTCCGTGACAGTCACAGAGAAATTCTGTCTCGAAGAAACAAATAAAACCAAACAAACAAACAAACAAGCAAACCAAACAAAACCCAAACAAACAAAAAGAAATGATTCTTGTATTAATGCTGTCTTACTGTTCGGGTTTTAGGAATCCAGGACAAAAAAAGAAGCTGCAAGAAAAGGTAAGTCTCAGCTAAGGCGGTCCTTCTGTTCACCAGGCAGTTGTGTGTTTATTAAACAGGTAGCTTGGGAGAGCTTCCTCCAGATTCACACCAGGCAGGCTCTGCTTAGCTTGGAGCCACCTGCAGTGGCATTCATCTTTCCTGTCTGAGTCAGATATGTTTAAAGCATTCCCTGAGGGAGCCAATTGTGCTCTTCTGGTTACCTTCAGAGGAACAGGACCAGCCTTTTGTTTTGTTTTATATTTTGTTTTGCTTTGGGAGATGTCTACAGTTAAAGAGAGGAGAGGAGAGGAAGATCTGGGAGGTGGTGATGGACACTTGTGCTTTGGTGGCCAGTGATAGGAAGGACAGGACTTGAAGTGGCAAGGAAAGGATCTTTTTGTTTTCCCCCTTTTGCTTTCTTTTTTTCTTTTCTTTTTTTTTTTTTTTTTTGGTTTTTCAAGACAGGTTTTTCTGTAGCTTTGGAGCCTGTACTGGAACTAGCTCTTGTAGATCAGGCTGGCCTCAAATTCACAGCAATCCACCTGCCTCTGCCTTCTGAGTGCTAGGATTAAAGGTGTGTGCCACCACTGTGCTGCTAAGGACAGGATTTGTAGTGGATGCTTGCTGTGTGTCCCTCTGGGTAGCACCAGCTCTTCCTTCCTCAGAAACAGCCAGGAAACAGCCAGCACTGGGGTTGGGATGGGGTCTCCTGCTGTGCTCATGGGTGGGTCCTGCCCAAGACTTAAATGAAGGAGCAGCTAATAATAACCATGTGAAGGGCACCAAATGAAGAACCATACTGAATAAGGTGAGCAAGAGCAATGAAGAGATGCAAACACCAAATCTTGGGGAAAGGAATTCTTTCCCTGCATCACTCTCTGCCTTCCAGCCTGGAGTCGGGGTCTCTCACTGAACCTAAGTTTACCCCTTTGGCTATGTTTGCTGACCAGGGAGCTCTTGGGATCTGCCCATTTCTGCTCTCCACACTGGGCACATGTAGCCATGCCCAGCTGTTTACAAAGGGACTGGAGATTCCAGTCCAGCCCTCACTCTGACACAGCAAGCTATCTAACCCAGCCAGCCATTCCTTATTGATGCTGTTACAGTGTAATCTTTAAACTCTTACTTTGTTCAGCTTGAGTATCTACACAGCTTCCTCTATCTTTGGTCCTCCGGGGAGGCCAACAGTAGTTCTCTAATGCAGTGGACACCTGATGAGCCTCAGCTGTCTGCAGTGTCCCCGCAGCACAGAGATGAAGACTCTACCCATCTGTAGACGCTTGGTTCTGTAATCACAGTTGAGTACTCGAGAGACACATATGAGGGAGGATGCTCCTTCCTCAGAAAGAGCAGAAAAAGTAATAAAACTGAATTAGTGAAAACAACAACAGCAAAATAAAACAAGCAGTGCTACTTTTGATTTTTAATCCACTAAGAACAACAACAAAATCCCAAAATAGTACATTTTCTGTTTTGTTTTTAAACACACTCTGTATACCAGGCTGGTCTCGAGCTTACAGAGATCTGCCTACCCCGGCCTCTGGAGTGCTGGGATTAAAGGTGTGTGCCACCACGTCCATCTACATTTTAGTTTTTAATTCACTAATTCAAAAGTTCTACTGAGATTTTCTTTTAGCAGAGTTAGCCAAGCTATGGATAAGGGCTAGGGTTATCTAAGGATAATGTACTTAATAAAACCATGATTTAATACCTTACACCTTTCATTGTCATTTCCAATTTTCTCAGATGATTTGGATGCAGCACATTCTCCCAGCAACAGAACGGGAGATGTCCTCAAAGAATGTGAAACTGTTTCCTCCATGGTGACATTTGAAAATCTGCCAGAGAAAGTGACTGACACAGTGCTGACCATCCTGGTGGAGAATATAAGCGGCTTTTCCAGTGACGACTTTAAGGTTGAAGTGATTCAAGATTTTGGCGTTGCCGTGGTTACCTTTCAGAAGCCTATAGGTGAGTCCTAGTCCCAGGGAGGCCCTGCATCCCCAGGCTTCCGCCCACCATACCCCAGAGTTTGGGACATCTCTGAGTGTTTGACACTTTGTTGTAGTGAGTAAACAAGGCATCTAAGCCTTTCCCCTCAGATTTAGAAAGATGAACAAATTCATTTTGGGATCCAATTTGGGTATATTTCATAGACTGTCCTTTATTATTTGATTGTTTGAGTGGGGGGGTGGAGTGGGGGGAGAAATATAAAGTCCCAGGTGATTCTAAGTGGAGGAGTTGGAACTCTTACTCTAGTTCCCCAGGAGGAGTTAAGACTGACCTGTCACCATGCCACACTTCTGTAAGGCAATGATGCCAACAGACTTACCCTTAGTGCTTAGTGTCAGGCACCTGCCAATCTCTGCATGTGTTAATTTATTCCTTCCTTTCAACAACCCTATGACAGGGCTCGATGTTGCTGTGAGATGGAGAAACTAGGATTGAACCCAAGCAGCCCACTTCCCTTCCCCCTTTCCTATCATTTTACCACACCAGCATTTCTCCTTGGTGTAACCATTTCATGGCCACACGTGTGGAGAAGAGAGAGCCCACTTAATGGGGAAAATGAATGTCCCAGCCAGCAAGATGGCAGAATGGGCAAAGGAACTGTGGCCAAGTCTGACAGCCTGCGTTTAATTCCCGGGACTCATACAAGTTGCCCTCTGACCTTCAGATGCACTCACACACATGCACTGGCATGTGCACACACATAAACATGGAAAAGAAAATAACTGCTCTGTTAGGTCATTGCCATAAGCAAGACCCAGCTCCACCTAAAACATGGCAGATTTCTAAATCTAAGCCACATGTCTCATGGGCAGGGCACTGGGTGTCAGTGAAGCTCACAGGGGATGTGGTCAAAATTCTGGTCCTGTCACATAACTAGTTGTGCAAAGGTGACCAAGTTATTATTTTCTCTGGTCCTTATCCACTCATCCATAAAATGGGGATGATCATACTTATGTAAATTCCTGTGACAATTAAGTGAGATAGTACTTCAGGCATGTTAAGGATTATTAAAGGATACTTATTTCAAATTTATTAATATTTATTATAAACAGAAATTTAAAGATTTGTTTATTTTGTGTGTACATGCCTGCAAGTATTTCTGTTTGCTGCATGCATGCAGTGCCTGAAGCACCCAATAGAGGGCATTGGATTCCCCTGAAACTGGTGTTACAGATGGCCCTGGGCTTCCAAGTGGTTGCTGGGAAACGAATCACAATCTTCTGCAAAGGCGGCAAGGGCTGTTAACCTCTGAGCCCATCTCTCCAGACCCATAAAGGGAAATTTAAATTAAAATGATCTTGCATCTGTTCACTGATCAACAATCTTGAGTGCATTCTGTGTTAGCTTCAGTTACTGTAACAAACACCTAATGCCATCAGCCTTCAAAAAGAGAGGTTTATGCCAGTTCACAGTTTGGGTGGCATCAGTTCATGGTCGGTTAGTCCTGCTGCCCTGGGGCTTATGTTGAGACAGCATGTATGGTAGCAGCATGTATGGGGGGGGAGAGAGACAGAGACAAAGAGAGAGCCTTCTTGTCCCCTACCTCCCCCATGAATGACTGGGACATTTCCCACAGACCTCACTTGTTAAAGGAGCCACTACGACCCAATAACACCTAGGTAAGGACTAAGACTTTAACACGTGGGCCTCAGGGACAGTTTCGGTCCAAACTATGGCCACTGTTATGGACCAGGTATCAGTTTAGGGGCTGAGGTGTAGAAGGAGTGGCGGGCTGCATTCCACCTGGCTCCAGCATGGCTAACCTTACACCCAGAAATAACAACACACAAGCTGTATTTATTTAAACACTGCCTGGCCCATTGCCTACAGCCCCTTATTGGCTAACTCTCACATCTTGATTAACCCATTTCTAATAATCTGTGTAGCACCACGAGATGGTGGCTTACTGGGAAGGATCTTAACCTGTGTCCATCTTGGAGAGGAGAGCTATAGCGACTGCCTCATTGCCTTCTTCCCAGCATTCTGTTCTGTCTACTCTGCCTACATATGTTCTGACCTATCAGGCCAAGCAGTTTCTTTATTAATTAACCAATGAAAGCAACAAATAGAAAGAAGACCCACCTACATCATTTCCCCTTTTTCTGTTTAAACAAAAAAGGCTTTCATTTTAACATAGTAAAATTACATATAATAAAACATTTATCAAGCAAGAATAACAGTTATAATATTTATATCTACCTTATCTTTTATCATAATTAAGGAAAACTATAACTATCTATCATTTTTTAACTCTATCAAAGAATCCAGAAGGATATAATATGACCTAAGCAAACAAGAGCAACTTCCAAACTCTAGAAATGACAGAGACATCTCGCTGCCTGTACAGTCACCCCAAGTTTCTCTGTATCGTTGAGGCACCCATATTTGGCCTTTAGGCCCATAGTATCCAGCAGACATTTCCGTGAAGTAGGAAATTTCAAAGGCAGTTCAGTCATTATCTGCTGTGTCCTGCAGAATGTCTCGCAGACTCTTTCATGAATCAGGAATCTCAAAAGAACATCTCACCTTTAAGCAAGTTTAGCAGTCCTCACTCTGTGGGTTCGTTACGTCCAGTTTAAGTATCAGTTCAGACAAGAGCAGTTTCTTGCCCAAATGACTATCAAACTCCATAAGGAGCCTTTTTAATGCCCATCTTTCTCTTGAAGTAACTGGTGCTGCCAGGAGCAGACATGTCTCATTGTCATGAAAAGCCCTAAGTTATTAAAACATTTAAAATGTCATATTTTGAAATCTTTGAAAGATATGAAGAATGTCTCTCTGACTGAAATGTATCTCTATATATTTAGAAAATCCAATTAACATAACTATAAGCTTGATTATCATTGACGATTATCCATTAACAACCTATATTTTCTAATTATACATTGAGGCTCAAAAGTGGCTAAAATCATAGTTCCCTCTCTAGAGGAACTCAGTCTGGGAGGAGGAGGAGGGAGGTGTGTGTGTCAATGAATAATGGAGACAAAAGAGAGTCTGTCTCCCAGGTGTAGTAACCTGAGAGGGGTGGAGACAGAACTATGTATAGTTGTTCCCACCCAAGGGTGTCCTCCAACAGTGTCACCTGACCATCTCCATAGGACACCAAGCTTGTTCATGCTGCCACTGCTCCCACTTCTTATCCGTTTGGCAACCCCCCCCCTTTAGTGTTCAAATTAGAGACCATATATAGTTCTTCTATGCTCTGAGTCTGAGTCCCTGCTTCATCTGTTCCATATTGGAGTCCAAAAGGCAATTCAACAGTGCTCAAGATCCATGTCTTCCCAGTGATATACAAGCAAGGACTTGTATTCGTTTTTCAGATCCCAGCACAATGATTGGCATGTGACAGGCCCACCATCCCCCTGTTAATTTAAAAGAGATCGTTAGGTTGAGTCATGAAGATAAATAGGACCAACTGAAAAAATACAGGGGGAGGACTGTAGACATAGCCCTATTTTGGTATCATGGTTCAATTTGATCCATAGACCAGAACGGCCTCAAACTCACAGAGATCTGCTTGTCTCTGCCTCGCAAGTGCTAGGGATAAAGGCATAAGGCACCACTACCTGATTTGTGATTACTTGTCTGTGGCAATATGAAAATAAAACTGAAAGTGCTACTTGGATGTGTGTTTGGAGTCAGAAGCCTGGCTGTGGATGTGGGCTCCTACCTGCTGCCATAGTGGGAATAAATGGACTTGAGAAAATGGGGAGACCAGTGGCATTGTGAGGAGTGCGCTCAGTGGAGTTGGCCATGGCCAAAGGACAGCTCAGTAGCAGAAAATACAGTAACTGGCTAGTTCCCCATTCTGGGTTATAGCCAGACCATTTTTTCCATACCATATAGAGATACCACTGAAATTTTCTCATTTTCTTTCTCTTTTGTAGATATCAAAAAATTTATTAGTGATTTTATCAGTCACCATTCGAGCCGACAGCTGCAGCTTACCCCGAGACTTCTGGAAACAACAAATGTAGTTAGGGTGGAAAACCTGCCTCCTGGGGTAGATGACTACCAGCTTCAGCTCTACTTTGAAAGCCCTTTCAATGGGGGCGGAAGAGTCACCCAGGTTGAGTGTTTCCCAGAAGAGAGCTCGGCGCTGGTTGAGTTTTCAGACAGCAAAGGTAATGTGTCTTGGCCTGCCACCCGGGCATGACCTGGATGGTTGGCCATTTCAACCATTCCTTAATCTGTCAGAAATGGCGCCAGTCTCTCATTCATCTGTATTTGGTGCAGAACGAGGTCAACAAGGTAGGCTCTGGCGAAGCAGCACAAGCTCATGAGAGACAGGGAGAGTCTTTAACAAGTCCGGCCTGTGACTGGATGTCACCATTCTAGGAAATTTGACAGGCCGTACTCACAGTCATAGATCTGTGTTTTACGTCCCTACAATGATTCTCTAATCAACAAGTTTAGGGAGAGATGGACTCAAAGCATGTTCTAGAAAGTATTCCTGTTCCCCCTATGCCGTCCCTGTGCTGAGACCGGATAATGGGTGATTTCTCACAACCTCAGGAGGAGCTGGAAGTCCTGTTGTTGATGACATCTTCAGTGGTTCTTGAGTCAGACAGACTTGAGTTACAATCTTGATTGGAGGTCACTGGCATGGTGACCTTTAGCCCTCAAACCCTTTGTTTTCTCATCTGTAGAGGTAGGGTCAGGAGTTACCTCAGAGGAGTGCTGTAAGGAGGAAATGAAACAGTCCCTCAGCAATGTTTGGCCTAAGGGGGTGCTGTCTGAGCTGGAGGTCACTCAAGCTGTCCAGCCTCTCTGGAGCCTTGTGGAAGGTTGGGCCTCTGAAGGTCACATTCCTTCCCTCAGGCCTGATACCTGCTCTAGGACTGAGTCACCAGGGTATTATGTTTTAGCATCTTTCTGCCACGGGGGCCATTTAAGTCCAAGTTGTTGTGGGATTAATTCTAATTTCCATGCTGATACTACTTATACTTGTCCAACAGCCAAAACAAAGTGAGGCAAGTCCTTAAGAAAGAGAGAACATGATCATTCATCCAGGGGTGGGCTGTGGTGGCTGTCCTGGTACACATGGTGACCAGGAGATATAATGGGGAAGGCCTTACTAAATTGTGACCTCTGGGGCAGGACTCTCCAATGACTGTGAGGATAATTTTGATTTGGTATAGGAGCAAGACCATGGGGTCCAGGTTAGCTCACACTGGCAATTAGCTCAGATACTTCCTTGGGTTTATAGAACCCTGACTTTCCCCAGCCTCAGCTTTCTCACCTCCATCTATGGGTGTAATAAATCTCTACATGAGAAGGCCACTATCAAGATTAAGGACAGGAAATTCATGCCCTTGGGAAAGCAACACAGAGTGCTGGTACAATTATCTTCTTCTATGAAATGAAGTTAGCTATGGAAGTTAAATTCTGGGACTATACAGAAAGAGATGGATGCAGAATTATCTACCCAAAGGATTGAAAGTTCTTTTTAAGATTTATTTATTTATTTCATTGGTGTTTTGTCTGCATGTACATCTGTGTGAGGGTGTTGAATCCTTTGGAACAGGAGTTACAGACAGTTGTGAACTGTTATGTGGGTGCTGGGAATTAAACTTGGGTCTTTCAGAAGAGCAGCCTAGTGCTCTTAGATGATGTGCCCTTAAGCCATTCCTTGTGTTGGTACAAACACCAACCCCATGCTTGTGTCTAAATTTGTGTCTGTTTCTTATTGTGCCACATACATCAGGGACATCAGAAAAACAATAGACTGGAGCATGATTTCAGTGTAGAACAATTTGTGTATAAAGTCATTGTAGCCATAAATGGAGTCTGACCTGTGGTTAGCATCAGTCTACAGCTTAGCACATGGGAGAATGCCGCCTTTGAGTTCTACAGACGTCAGAGACTTTTGTCCTCTAGAAAAAGTTTGTTTTGTTTTGTGTTCTTTGAAAACGCATGACATTGAGATTACTGTTATTTGTTTTTTTTTTGTTTGTTTGTTTCTAAAGTGTTAGACACCATTATGACCAAGAAGCACAGTTTCAACAGGATGCAACTGTCTGTCTTCCCCTATTATCCTTCTCTGGGCACAGCCTTGTATGGTGAGGAGAAGCCACTGGTCAAGCTTCCAGCACCTTTCCAAGAGTCACTGGACCCTCCTTTGTGGAAGTTCTTTCAAAAACATAATCATCTAATAAAGGAGATAAATGACAAAATGAGACGCTTTCACTGTGAGCTAACATGGTCTGACATCAACGGCACAGTGACCATCAGACCTGCTGCCACCTTAGTCAATCACAGACCAAGCATCAAGACCTGGCAGAGAGACGCCTCCGAGCTGCTGTCTGGCACCAAGTCTAAGTACGAAGTTAAGGTGTTTGAGGTGTATCCGCCAGTGTGGGACATCATACAGCATGAATTAGGAGATGACAGGGTTCTAATTGAGTTTGATAAGGAGAGTCTCACCTTAGCCGGAAAATCAGAAGATGTCCAAGACATCGGCCAGAAAATCAGGGAGTTAATAGACAGCACCACGGAACAGGTCCGAAAGGAGGAGCAGAGTCTGAAGGAGAAAGTGGCCATTTCTCCGGGGAAACATTTTCTTTTGGAACACAGTGGTTTCCTGGATGATCTAAGGAAAGAGAACCCAGAGCTGGAGATTCATTACGATGCTGCCACTCAGCACCTGTGTTTTAATGGATTCCGTGCAGATGTGTATAAAGTAAAGTGTGACATCCAGGAAAAGGTGTATTCCATGCCTCAGAAAGACATCCTGCTTCCTTCTGCAGTCTTCATGTTTCTGCAGCAAGTCGACAGTCAGAAATTCTCCAAGACTCTTTTTGAAGCACAGAAAATTCTGGCCACGTATGAACTGAACAGTACAGCTCTTCTCTTGATGGCCTGCTCTTTTGGAGCCCTGGCAGAAGCAGAGAATAAAATGCTTGATGCCTTGAGTTATAAAATCATTGAAGTTGAAGAAAAGAAAGTTTTTAGAGGCAATGCATGGAAAAAGAAAATTCACCCTCTGCAAAAGAGACACTCCTCCACTGCAAGCATTATGATAAAGAATAAATTAACTTTAGGAAGCCCGGCTAAGGTCATCATTGCAGGCTGTGTGAAAGAAGTAAATGAAATCTATGGCCAACTTTTTAAGTTCTTGGAAAACAAGATGAAAATTGAAAGACTGGTTGAAATTGAATCGGTCTTGATTATCGAGCATTTAAGGACAGACAAGAAGCTGTTCTGGCCAAAGATAAGGAAGGCCAATGTGCAGGCAAGTTTTAAGCTGGAAGATGAACCAAAAGGCATTTTACTAACTGGCTCCAAGAGTAAAGTTCTAAAGTGCATGAACATGGTCAAGCAAATCCGGGATTCAGTCTGCATTAAAAGGTTCCATATTGATGATCTTTGGTCAGGCGTGGCCACTCTCTGGCCTCAGAGAGGCATGGCGGTCCAGCTGGAGGGTGAACTCAGGAAGGCAGTGGCCCCGCGTGAGGACCAAGGATGCAGTCTTGTTGTGGGAGCCAAAATGGGCATTGGGCAGCATTGTCTGGTGAACTCTCCTTGTCATTCCTTTTTGCCTGGTGCTTGCCCTCTTGTCAACATGGAGAAGAGGGAGCTGATCGAGAAGGCCAAGTTGGCTGAGCAGGCCCAGCGCTATGAGGACATGGCCATCTGCATGAAAATGGTGACAGAGCAGGGCACCGAGCTATCCATGGAGGAGCGCAACCTGCTGTCGGTGGCCTGCAAGAACGTGGTTGGGTACCGCAGGTCCTCCTGGAGGGTCATTTCGAGCATCGAGAAGAAGATAGATCAGAAGACCCACACCTCTGACAAGAAGTTGAAGCTGATCAAGGACTATCGGGAGAAAGTGGAGTCAGAGGTGAGGTACATCTGCACCAAGGTCCTGGAATTGTTGGATAAATATTTAATAGCCAATGCAACTAATCCAGAGAGTAAGGCCTTCTATCTGAAGATGAAGGGAGATTATTTCCGGTATCTTGCTGAAGTAGCATGTGGCAGTGATCAAAAACAAATGATAGATAATTCCCAAAGAGCCTACCAAGAGGCACTTGATATAAAGCAAGAAAGAGATGAAGCCTACACATCCAATCTGCTTGGGTCTGACCCTTAACTTTTCTGTATTTTACTATGAGATCCTTAATAATCCAAAGCTTGCCTGCACACTGGCTAAAACTGCTTTTGATGAGGCCATCGCAGAGCTTGATACACTGAAGGAAGACTCCTACAAAGACAGCACCCACATCATGCAGTTGCTTAGAAACAACTTAACATTACGGACACCAGACAGTATAGGAGAAGAATTTGGTGCAGCGGAGGGGGCCAAAAACTAAAGGCATCCTGGGTACTGTCCTTTATCCCCTCAAGAAAACCCTTTTACATCTCTATTCCTTATTTCACTTGGATTTCCTCTAGCAAGGAAGCTTATTCATGTGTATGGGATCAACTGTTTATAGTCTTTTCACACTACAGCTTTGGGAAAACTCGATACCCTGATTTGTGTTGTCTTGGCCTTCCTAGTGTGCAGTTACTGCTGTAGAAAAGTATCAATAGCTTCATTTCATATAAACACGAGTAACTTCCAGACACTTGTGTAGAGGACTGGCAGTACATTGAGTATTTAAGTAATTTGAACCAGTTCTGCAGGGTTTTGTATTACTGTGAAGATATGGAAATGTAGTGCATTACAATTTACAGTAATTGTAATAATAACACCCCGATTTCTACATTCCCTCTCTGACCCTTCTTTAGGGGTTAATCTTTTCAGAAGCAACTTTTCCATACTCTTACTGCATATTCCTTTTTAGTAGGAATCCAGAAGTGTTGGATTGAATGGGAAAGCTCTTAATGCATCTGGTTTTGTGGGGATCACAGATTGAAATGTCTTCTAGTCACTTATTCTGGAGGCTGGTTATGTCTGTCTGTGACAACAAAGAGTTTCCTTTATGCATTCTTCATTTGCTGCCGTTTGAGTTGACAACTTCCTTCCCAATAAAAATTCACTTATACTTCCTGCCTTCGTAGCTCTGGTATTCACTTTACCTTGTAATAGAAGTAGCATGTTGCTGCCAGAATACAAACATTGCTTTGGGAAAATTAAAATGCATCTTCCTTTCTTAATACACTAGAAACAGGAAATAAAGTACACAAGTCCAAGTCTAAACATCAGTACTTTTCCATGCAGATCCATGCACATGTGAGAGAGTGTCCAGTTTGTTCAGTGATTGTTTTTTAGAAAGTCAGACTCACAATATTGGGTTTGCTAATCATTGACTGTAATCCCAAAAGAGCCTTGGGAAATGTTATGCCCTATGTAACAGCAGAGTAATGGTGTAGGAGGGTCTTCTATCTATGTGTTGCTTTCATTGGTTAATTAATAAAGAAACTGCTTGGCCTGATAGGTCAGAACATAGGTAGGCGGGGTAGAAGAACTGAATTCTGGGAGGAAGAGAGCAGAGTCAGAGAGAGTTGCCATGGAGCCAACCTCCAGGTCAGACATACTGAATCTCTCCCAGTAAGCCACAGTCTCATGGTGACATAAAGATTATTAGAAATGGGTTGAATCAAGACGTGAGTTAGCCAATAAGAGGCTAGAACTAATGGGCCTGGCAATGTTTAAATGAATACAATCTGTGTGTTGTTATTTTGGGGTATAAACTAGCCAGGCGATTGGGAACCGGGCGGTGGGACATGGCCTGCCACTCCTTTTACAACAGAGTGGTGCTCCAACATGGTAACTAACTCCACGTAAAACCTAAGAGGGCTTAAAAAGGAATTTTAGACACAAATAGAGAGTTTAACACAGCTTTGTGTTGTTTGTTGGCCAGGTGCCACAGAGAAATTTCCCTGACTCAGCAGCCGTAGCAGGAAAAAAGATGTGCGGTTTTAAAATGCAGCTTCCAGGGCTGTGCCACCACCCTGAGCTCTGGCTATAAAGCATTTCAATGGCTTTTATGGGACTGGATGTTTGTGTTACTGCTTGGGATTGGGGAGAAAGTACTCTGAGACCATGCCTGCACTCCCCACCTATGCAGACTGTGGGATCAGGCTTAGGCAGGCAGGAGAGCATGGCAGATTCCTGCCACCAGAGAGATGTTTCCAGGCTGCGCAGTGCTCTGTGTGGTAGATTTGGCTATAACTCAAAAAGAGTTTATGTGCCACACGTTCAGTCTCAGACTTAAAGTGCTGAATGCGGCTCCTACCTGGTGGCCCCAGAACTAGCAGAAATGGTAAGTCCACCATTTTGAAATTGGAGAGAGGTGGAGCCAACATCCAGAGCAGCCCGCTGCTCTGCAGTTCAGAGGCACAAGCAGCTCCTCTATGTTGGACTGAGTGGGGCAAGCCTGCAGTACCTGTTTTTCGACCTGGGAATGTCACAGCTTAGACTCTGAAGTGCTTACCAATTTAAAAGCGCAAAGCAAAAATGTTCCTAGACAGTAAAGAATTACAGACAATGCAATAGGACAGATTCAGACATAAAAGACCTCTAAATGGGTCATAGTGTTAGACATACGTAGGCTTGGGCGAGAGAAGAAAAAGAATATAGAGAATAAAGTTAATGCCTTAAAAAGGGGATAAAGTCTTTAAAAAGACAGAGTACAGATCGTTATAGATTAAAAGAAATAAAGAAAAATAAGCCACGTAAAAATGGAAAATTCACAGAGAGTCTGGATTATGTTTATTGTGTTTTCTTTGAATTTTTTGACAGCAAAGGAGCTAAATACAGAGAGATATTTCATTGTGTGGTCTGCTAAGCTGAACCAGGATATATGTTCTAAAGGTATCATGGCTTACAAATTTGTGTCTGAGGATATGGTGCTTTGGAAAAGAGGTTCTTCTTTTGTTTTCACAGAGGATAAGACCCAATGGATTGCTTCTGTCCCAATATGGTATGATGGACCACGCCCTCCTGAAAGGGTGTCATGAACACCTTCAGAAAATTACTTCACTCAACTGATATACCATGAAATACCTGAATAACAGCAGGCTATACAGCAGGAGCAGTTTGGAGAAAAATAACTACGCCCATATTCCCAAATATTGTTTAAAAATGTTCTTTTACATTTAAAGGGGATATGATATAGATATAAATAATTTGCATTGGTATAAATCTTGATTTATTGATACAAATTTAAGGTCAATTTTGTTATATGTATGTGTATTTCTGATCTTGATTAAGGTATTGTGATTGTGTAGTTCATTTAAAAATGTAATGTATAATTAGGAAAAAGGACCAGGAGTGCGTGAGCCTATTAAAGAGAGCTGTGGAATGAAGTCTCATCTTAGCTGAGGAGGCCAAGTGTCAATCCATAGCCATGCCAGCTATCAGTTCTGGAATCTTTGACTTTCCCTTAGACCAGTGTGTGGCCACCATTGTTTTAGCCATCAAAGACAACTTCTGAAGCAAGTCAGACAGGTGCACCTTGAAAAAGATTTATCTGGTGGACATATCTGCAAAGGTTGCTGGAGCCTTTGCTGAAGCTGTAAAAACTACATATAAAGCCACCCTCTCCCACACAGCTCCTCCTTCCAGTTTACAAGCATTAGAATTAGTGCCACCTGGGAAAACATTACAGAAATCACAGAAACATTATTGTCTGTTGGTGTCCCCAGAAGGCCTGAAAATCTGACTGGTGGAAGAAGGTATACAGAATTTCAAGGTGAGTATTACTGTCAGAAACAATGTGTTTTACCTGTTTAATTTAGGGCCAAAGGAAGACAGGGTGGAGGGAAAGGACTGAGGAAAATTCCCTGCTCTCCTACTCAGGTCTTCAAACATTTTCCATAGACACTGGACTTCTTCCCAAATCACTTAAGAGTAGAGATGGGTGTGTCTGTAAGGATCAAAAAGGCTCTGGGATAGGTCATTCCATCTTGATACTGTGGTCCATAGTAGGAGACACTGCATGCCTCCCCGCATCTTCATCATTTCCCAATGTTGTGTCTGGTCCATCTAGTGCTGGCTTCTGTCAGTTTCAGGTGTGGAAGAGCATGGGGAATGAAGAGGACAGGAATTTAACCAATGACATGAGTAAGGTTGACCTTGAGTGCTGGTGTGGACGAGGGAGCTCAGTCTCTGAAACCCATCTGTGGGTCCTTTGTGAGGAAGTAGTGGATGGGAGGAAGGTCCAGATGTTGGGAGTCATGTAAGGACAATTCTTGTTTTGTGGATTTTTTTTTTTCAGGGAAATCATGTTTTTTAGATCAGCTGGCAGTCAGAAAGCCCCCGTAATTCTCCTCTCTCTCTCTCTCTCTCTCTCTCTCTCTCTCTCACACACACACACACACACACACACACACACACGCACACACACACACACACACACACACACACACACTCACACACACACACACCCTGGGAATATAGGCATGAGCAGCCACTTACCCTCTCTGCCTTATCCATCAGCCCCAGATTGTGTGTTTGCGTGTGTGTGTGTGTGTGTGTGTGTGTGTGTGTGTGTGAGAGAGAGAGAGAGAGAGAGAGAGAGAGAGAATTTAGCTGGGCATTGAGGCACCTGCCTTTAATTACAAATTACAACACTGTAAGACAGAGGCAGGCAAATCTCTGAGTTCGAGGCAAGCCTGGCTCACATAGAATTTCAGCCCATCCAGGGCTCCATAGTGAGACCTGTTTTCCCTCCCTTCTTCCTAAAAGTATTTAATACCCTTTCCAACACAGGCTCTACTCATTGGAACCATAGCTGTCCTAAGCAGGGCAGGCTACTGCCTTCTTCCTGACCAGTAGCTGCAGGTCGCGCTGCATGGTTGTAGCTGTGTCCTCCAGTGAATGTCTGCCTCATCCTTCTGTTTTCTTCAGAGGGGTTGGGGATCAGAATTGGGTGATCTGCCCTTTCTGTCACTCAGACAACTCTGAGTAGTTTGAGTTACTGTTCAGCTTTTAAGACAAACACTTAGTTGAAAGAGCATTTACATAGCAAGCATGAAGTCCTAGGTTCAGTCCTTTAGCACTGCATAAACACAGTGTGGAGGCACAAGTCTGTAAAAGCAGCACTAGGGAGATGGAGAGAGGAGGATCAGAAATTCAAATTCAAGGCTATCTGATGACATAAATCACAAAACAATCTTACACCAGTTCAGAATTATGAATAATAAAAGGATATTTATTTAAGAGAAAAACTTACAGATAACTGTCCTAAATAGCAGTCCTCTGCATGAACAGGAACGGAGTCTAGCAGCTGGAATCAGGAGCCAGAAGCAAAAGAGATGGCACATGGTTACCACTGTTTTTACAGTATAAGAGACCACACTCCAGTGCTCCCACAGCACCTCTCCCTGTTGTTTAAATAAGAGAGTTCCAAACTCAATACAATACTATGTAAATTAGGAACAGATATCAAGTTTAATTAGAATTACAACCAGCATAAACAATATTAAGCAAGGAACATATGCTAAATGTTTTAATAAACATTCTATCCTATGGAATCAAAGTCTTGTATAGTAAATGGCTTGCCTAGTAGTAGAGTAACTACTACTATCTAATCTTCAACCCCACCAAAGGCCTGAGAAGGGAGGTAATATTACTTGAGCAGGCAGAAAGTACAATCAAGTAGCTTCCAAACAAGCTATATATGATGGAGACAATTAGCTACCTGAGCAGTCACCCAAAGTCTCGTTTTGCAATGTTGAAGCAACCAAATTTGGCTAAGGCCTAGCATAACTGATAGACCATTTTCAGAGGCAGGAAAATTTTCAAAACTGTCTTAACCTGTCTTGGCAAGATTTGACAGTCCTGCTTATCCATTTCTGGATATCATGAAACTTGTCCTTGTCGGTGGTTGAGGCATTGTCAATTCCTTGCCCAAAGGCCAGTTTTGCCAAGAAGAAAGCAAGCTCCAAGTGGAGTGTCTTCAGTGCTCAACATTCTCTCGAGAATAGATTGGTGCTGTCAGAAGCAATCATGTCTCATGTCAACAGAACCCTAAGTTATTTATATGCCATGTTCCACAGATCCTTGAAATGCTTGAAGATTACCTATCTAAACAGAACACAATC